GAGGAGGACGACGAGGACGACGAGGAGGACGAGAGCAGCAGCAGCGGCGGCGGCGAGGAGGAGAGTAGTGCCGAGAGCTTGGTGGGCAGCAGCGGCGCGAGCAGCAGCGACGAGACGCGCTCTCTGAGCCCCGGCGCCGCAAGCAGCAGCAGCGGGGATGGGGACGGGAAGGAGGGCCTGGAGGAGCCCAAGGGACCGCGGGGCAGCCAGGGCGGCGGCGGGGGCGGCAGCAGCAGCAGTAGCGTCGTCTCGAGCGGCGGGGACGAGGGCTACGGAACCGGGGGCGGCGGAAGCAGCGCGACCTCCGGAGGCCGGCGAGGCAGCTTGGAGATGTCCTCGGATGGGGAGCCCCTGAGCCGCATGGACTCGGAGGACAGGTCAGTGCACTGGAGCGTTTCCCCTCCCCTTCCTCCTGCACTCCGGGGCCCTGGCGTGGGGGTGGGGGACAAGGGGACTTTTGGGTGAGATTCTGCTCCCCGAACCTTCGGCCCCTCCTCCAGGCTCTACTCGGAAATCGCTCCCCACCGCCGCGCCCCTCTCAAAGCGCATAGCGGCTCCCAACTCTCAAACCATTTCCCTTCGCCCCTAACTCCTTTCCCCGCCCTTCTTCCCCTCGGCGGGGCACTTCGTGCGGACCTAAGGACAGCGCTCACTCCGGGACAGTCCCCCGAGCCGGCCCAGATCCTCCTGGTGGAGTGGGGGCGGCCTGGATATGCACACCTCGTGCGCAAGGTTAGCTTCATTAGCCGTGTACTTGAACACTTGTCAGGACTGTTATTGACAAGTGTTTTCAACATGGCTGGTCTCCCTGGATTGAACATACCTTCCTTGTCCAGGAAAGAGACCCTCAACTTTCACTTTTCTCTGCTTAAAAGGAAGCAAGACTGTTGGTTTAAATTTAATTAGTGTTTGCTAAATTCCCTTTTTGTAGTCATTAATGTGGTCCCCAGCGTGGTTTTTAATAATCTTTCCTGCTCTAGAAATGAATAATGAATTGATGTTTTTTAAATAACTACTGAATCAGACTTGTAAGAAAATATATTCTTAAAGGTATGGCATATTTTCTTTTAAAAATCTTTGTAATGCTTGAGAGTGAGACTCATGATTTTAGGTGATGGTTTAAAGTCGTTTATTGGATGTGCCTATGGAGGCTTTAGTATCACTTTTTAAAGATTTTTGAGAACATAGTGAAGTGATAAAAATGTACTCAGTATTTTCAGGACATTTTAGAAAGTTAAAGTAGTGTATGTTTCCATTGCTACAACCCTTTGGGTCCTTTTGGAAAACTTCATAATATGATTAATTGGTTGTTAGTCTACTTAAAAACAGAGCACCACATTGCCTGTATTATACAGATTGCAATATATTAACAGTTTTTGACTGTCGGCTAGAATTAACAATCAAGATTGTGATTTAAAAGTTTATGCCAAAGTCTTACAGCAATTCTGATGGCTGATAACAATGGACATTTTTTGTCTTCAATGTTAAAAATATTTTGAAAATCTAGCATTAGTTTCTGATTGACATTTACTTGACCATCTTAAGAAAACATTGTAGATGGGGTATATAGACTGTACAAAACTTAGAAATAGTGTACTGCATAGACATTATTTGCATAGGCTGGAAGAAAAATATCCTCAAGAAAATTGATGTGAACTGTACTATGGGTTATATGCTATTTACCATTTTGTTAGTACCCCTTTATTGATATCACCAGATATCGAAAGTTGACAGTAGTTTATGTAGTCTGCATCTACGGTAGTGGGTGTACACAGACACACACACACACACACACACACTGTCTCAATCATTTCATCTTCAAAAATATAGTGCGGTAGTTTAAATATCATTTTAACTTCTATTTAACTAGGAAGAAGCAAATCGAGTGCCTTACTCAAACAGTGCAGTTTGGAAGTGGGAGAGCTGGATCTAAACAAAGGTCTCCAAGTCCCCTGCTTGTTCCACGTCACTAGAGTTCTGCGAATTCAACTTGAGTAACAAGTTGTACATGTCAGGGTTGATTTTTATGTGTGTGTCACATGTTTTGCCCATTCACTACTAATTTTCAGGAGTGTTGGTTTAGTTAAGGTTCATTTGAATAATTTCTATATATTAAGAGCAGGGAGTAAAATTCTGTGTTGTCACAAGCCTATGGAATCTTAAAACACATAACCAAGTATTTTTCTTAAAGAATACTTAAATATTAGGGACTGCAAAATATTGTTATAATTTTTACATACCATTACAGGATAGCAGATGTATCTCTTGTGTGGAAAAACCCTTAACATTACCAATGAACTTTCTTTGTGGCATTGATAATCTTGCTTTTTCTTCTCCCAGCGTTATTTTAAATTAGGAAAGGATTCAGAATTCTTAGAAACTATCCTGGAGTTTACACCAATCTCTGCAGACTTTATAGAGTTCGTGGTAGGAAGTCTTTAGTTTTGTAACTGATGGAAGGGTATTGTGGTTTTCAATTGCTTTTTAAAATATTTAGGCGTTATGATGGCAGTGCCAGCACTCCTGGTGGGGCAGTGGTTAAAGTGCTCAACAGCTAACACAAACTGCATCGTTTGATCCCACTGGCTCTGGGGCTGTGTAATTCGGCAGAGGTGTAGAGCCTTGAAAATCCGGTCACTGAATCAATGGCTATGGGTTTGGTATTAGAACTTACTCGATTTTGAAATTTGATTGAGTGTACTGAGATGTTTTAGAACTTACTGAACTTTCTTAAATGCTTTTAATTTTAATAACCCATTTTAAAAATAATTAAGTACAAAGACATTAGATTATGACCTAAAGTGACATTTTCATTTCGTGTCTTTTATAAGCACAGATTCGAAGTATTGTGTGATGAAAGTAATTTATCATACTATTAAATAACACTTTGCACAAAATATCTCTTATATTCCCTAGGAGGAAGTTACTTGAAGCCATCTTAGGTCTATAAAAGTATTTAATTTGGCAAATTTAGAAAGTTTTAAAATTTCTTTGGGAGGAGGCATTAACTGCTGTAGGGCAATTAACTTTTTTTTAAATGTTGAACGTAAAAGCTTACATTTTGGAGAGTTTTACTACCTCTTCTGTAAATTGATTTTAGAGGGTGAATTAGGGTTTATGTAGCTTTAGCATTTAATATGCATGTAACATTTTAAAATTTATAAATTCAACTATTGAATCAGATTATGTACAAAACTACTCAGCCACTTAATAGGAATGTGCATTAAAACCCAAACCTGCTGCCATTGAGTTGATTCTGACTCATAGCAACCCTGTATAGTGTTTCTGAGGCTGCAAATCTTTACAGGAGCACAGTTTCATCTTTCTCCCATAGAGTCCCTCATAGGTGGGCTCAAACTGCTGTCTTCGTAGCCAGCAGCCCAGCGTGTAACACCACCATAGCTGCTCCTTATATGTATAAGCGCGAGTTAAAAATAACACTGTGCAGTTTCTTGTCTGTTACATAAGGAGTCCCTTGGTGTGGCTTAAGCAATCAACCATTAACTGCCTAGACAGTGATCTGTTTCTTGAAAATCACAGTCTTGAAGGCCCAATGGAGCACACATGGGGTTTTAGGAATGGAGCTTGAACTGTTGTCAGTTAACAAACATGCTGATTTTTTTTCCCCTCCAACTAGACCCGTAAGCAATTGCTTACCTTTGTAAAAACCCATCATTTTCAACTACTTTTAACAGGTTTTCTGGTTAAAGCCAGGTGTCACTCGGAAAGTGCATGTGTGAGAAAGTGGTGATAGACTCTCAGTTAGTTAATGGTCATCAAAGGCCACAAGGCTTTTAACTTAAAATTTTATTGGCACCTAATCTGTATAACTCAATCATATCAAGAAGAATTGTACAATCAGTACCACAATTTTAGAACATTCCCCCAACCCTGGAAGGCTCTTTACTTTTTGTTCATGCCAACATTTGGATTACTGACTCCCAAGTTGGGAACTTTGAGCTTATGCAAGATTGCTTTAAAGTTGAAAAAACTGGCTTTTATTGCTTCCCAGTAGTGTGGCTGGGAGATCCTTTATAGAGGCTAAACTTTTAAATCAGTGATTTATTACTGGAAAGTGGCATATTGAAATTACTGTTCAGGAGATGATCCCTTCAGGACCAGAGCTGAGAGTGGCGATTCTGGGAGGGTGGAGGGAAGGTGGGGTATAAAGGGGGAACCGATTACAAGGATCTACATATAGCCTCCTCTTTGGGGGGATGGACATGGAAAAGTGGGTGAAGGGAGACTTCAGACAGTGTAAGATATGACAAAATAATAATAATTT